TCCACTGAGCCAAACCGGTTTCGGCCTGCCTCCTTCTCTTAGACAGATAGGCCACAGGTCTCTTCCAAGGACCTAGAGTCTAGGTGAGAACCCCTTTGGCAATGCCCCTTACCTCACTCACTAGAGGTGGAAGGGCTTCCTGACGTCTGGCAAGGCTAGGGCAGGTGCTGAGACGAGAGCCTTCTTTCTCAAAGGCCCATTGCTCCACTTCGGTCCAGTTTAACGGCTGTGCCTCCCCAGCACTTGAGCACAGAGGGTCAGCAATCTCCGCGAATCCCCTAAAAATTCCCAAACCCGAGCTGGAGTGGCGGTGGCTTGCAATTTGGACTACTACAGGAGCTTGATGACTTGCTAACCCCGGGGGAGGGGGTTGTTTTCTGCCCAAACCATGGGAAAGAGATGTAATTTCTCCAAGTAAGCAGAGTCACCTTGGCCCTTTTCTGCAAGAGATATTCATCTGAGAGTGCTCAGTCCCCCTCGAAGGATATGGTGGCTTGTAGTTTCTGTAAGAGATCACGTCCAAGTAAGGGGTATGGGCAAACTGGCATGACCAGAAATGAATGTGTTACCGTGTTCTTTCCAAGGTCCACAATCCTCTTTGATGTCAAAGGAAAAAGGCAGTTTGTCCAGTGGCTCCCTGGACCAATGTCTTAGATGTTATGGGTCCCGTTGGCTCTGTCAAGACTGAATAGGCTGCTCCAGAATACACCAGGAAACTAACTGGGGGTCCTATTTATAAAAATTATTATTCTGGGCTCTAAGGGGTTCAAGGAAAAGGAGTCCTGGCCCTATTCGTCCCCTTCCCTGAGTGTAATTCCTTCAGAGCCTGGGTTTTCCCTCAGCCTTCTGCTTTCCTTTGTTAACCTACCAGGATATTCTCTCTTCCAGAATTTCTCTCTGCCCCTACTTCCTACAATAGGCATACTAATTCCTTCCTAGTTTGCTGCCGGCCTTTTCTTTCCCTTTTTCCATTCCCCTTCTCCTTTTGTCTTGGTGCCCGTTTCTCTTAATGCAGCTACCACTGCCTTAGTCATTCTCTTGTCCTGCTTGGCCTCCAGTGTGTCCCTATTGTTAAAGACTTTCTGGGCTACCTCTACCAGCTGTGACTGATTCATTCCTTCAAATCCTTCGAATTTTTGGAGTTTCTTTTTCTAACTGCTTGCTGCCTTCACAGAGTGAAAAGTGTCCAAGGAGGCCAAGGAGGCCTTGTCCCCTGGGGTTCTTGGGTCTTATTGTGGTGCAGGGAGGCACAAGGAGGCACAGGGAAATTTCCCTCCTCACCACCTACTCAAAATAACCCCTCGGGGGCTGAGAGGTAATTACAACCAGGTGAGCAGAGGGCCAGAGGGCTCGGGAGATGGGAGCCGGATAGGCACGCAGGTCCCCAGGTGACAGTGAAGGTGCTCCCACCATAGGGGAAAGGCATTTTCGTTACAAAGCGCTCCTGTGGCAGTGAGTTGGGTACCAGGCTCCTGCCATCGTACCAGTCCCCTGTGACAGAGCAGCAATCAGGCCTCTCCCAAGAGAGTGCACTGGAAGGGGTTATCAGCCCCTCCTCTGCTAGCAGCAACAGGTACTGAACCCTTTCAGTACATTTGACCAGCTTCATTCCCACCCACCTTTACAGATTCCAGGGCCCATTGTCTTCCTTTAACCAGCAAGCCAAATGATACTGGCCTGTATTATTTCCCATTGTGAGTTAGAGGAGGACAATTCCTGTGGAGGAAAATGACTCTTAGTCGGCTTGGAAAAGAAGGCAGAGGATGACAAGGTGTGCAGGGAAATTTTACTAAAAGCCTGGAGGGTCTCCTGAAAGATCCTCAATTCAGTACAGGCAGGGGGAAGGGCCCAAAAATTCTCTCTGCCCTGAGGAATGTCCTAATCAGGCAAGAAAAGCCACAAATACCTTTAGATCTACTCTAGAATTACAAAATTTTCAACCCAACACAGAAATATCACAGAGAAAATCAAAGTCCCTAGTACACAAACATAGACAGAAATTTTTACTAGTTAGGCAGGCCGATTCCACCTCTGCCAGCGAGCAAGCGCCCTTGGGAAAAGAACACAGTGGCCGCTCAGGGCGTTTTGCTATCGGTCAGAGCACTCAGCCTTAAATCACACATTTTTTTTTCTTGCAGACTTCCACACTTACATGAACAAATAATTATACCTAAGTGGACATATAAACATCAAATAAACCTCCACACTTACATGAACAAATAATTATACCTAAGTAGACATACAAACATCAAATAAACATCCACACTTACACCCTTTCAGTGAACAAGTACTTTTACAGTCTTGGGATCTTGAGCAGATAACAGGAACACTGCCCAAGTCCCCTGATGGGGGCCTGACAGGAACAGATGTGGGGGCCTTTGGCTGGGGGGTTTAAAGTCTCCATTCTTCCTTCCTCGGCACTGCTAAGAACAGGATCATTGGGGAGGTCTCTTCACCTAGGCAAGGCTGTGTGCTGAGCCATCTGGGGCAAAAGTGGTTTCTGCTTCCATTTTGGCTAAAAGGTCTCTGCCCATTAGAGGGACCATGCCAACTGGAAGATACAGGAATTCATGAACCACCTGATGGCCGCCTAACTGACATCGGCGGGGGCGGCAGAACAGTCTGCAGCTGTGGTCCCAGTAGGTCCAATAATGGTGACTTCCTGTCCTGAAAGGGGAGCTACCTTCTGAGTAACTACCAAGTACTCTGCCCCTGTATCAACCATAAAGTTCACAGTCTGGCCCCCGATTTTCATTTCGACCATCGGCTCCTGGGGGCCCAGTTGGAAAGAGCCCAGTCTGTCCTAATCAGAGTCAGCTGTTGCCAGTCGGAGGCGGTCTGCCTCAGGCGGCTCTGGCCAATAGCGGCTGGGTGGTTTGGATGGCCTTGCCAGCTTCTTCTGGTCTGCTCCTGCCCTGCCTGCCTCTTCACTCCTGCTACTAAACCTTACTCTGTCCCTTCTTACACACGCAGAACCAGATCCAAGGCAGCAAGGTTTTGAGCAATTTTAAAATTCCTTAACATACGTTCTAAGACAGTCGAGTTAGAGGAGGAGCTATTACTCATGTTGCAGGGAGGGACCGGGTTGCCTCCTCCTTAAGAAATACCTGAACAAAAGAACTAATGAAAACAAGGCTTATTTTCTAACTTCATTTGTCCTTGGGTGTGGACAGCAAATGACACTAATCAGATTGACATAAACTATTTAACCTTTGTTTAGGGAGGCAAATGCAAAGCATTTACTCCCAAGTGTCCTTGGTTTAGGGAAGATAGGATTTCTGCACAGTTTCCCTATTTTACTTGTCCCAGCTCACTGGCTTATCATCCATTCAACTTTCTTTCAACATTTCTCTTTTCCTTCTCATCACGTATACAATCTTCACAAATTTCACACTTTCAAATTAGCCTTCAAACCTTCTTTCTATGTCCTTCAAAAATGCATAACCATGCCTCAGACCTTCCATTAAGTATTTCTCTTTACCTTCCTCCATCATACCAAAGGCATACTTTCCAGTTAGTTAGAACTCTTAGCCTTAACTTTTAGGTGACATGTAAATAGTTAACATTCCTCAGATTAGCAATACATTCATATTTTTTAAGAGACACAAACAGAAATTTCACTAGCTAAACAATTTTAAACAACAAAGACATATTTAAACAATAAAGACAGATAACACTCCCCATTAAAAACTTTGAATCACCACAAAAACTCAGATGTTTAGAAGGTTTTTTAAGAAAACAAAACAAAACGGAAACAAACCTAAAAACACTTTTACACTGGCGCATGCCACATTTACACCACAAATACCAACAAATCAGTTTCAATTGTGCAGAGATACAGAACAAGTCCCTGAACAGAGGCAGTAGAAAACTGCCTAGGAACGCTTCTCTTAGTTTTGACTTCCCTCTGGAAGTCCCAGAGACGGTGAATACCGTCTAGAAGCCATTCCTCCAGATACAGGACAAGTCCCTTAGAGATCCTTGACAACCTACATCAGTAATCCATTCACACAATCCCTGACCCATTTTGACAAGACAAAGACAACAAAGAGCAAAGACAAAACAAACCAGACAAATGCAACCTAAGGTTGTCCAGACCAGGACCCCCAGACGCCGCTGCGTCGGGCAGTCAGATTCCGAGGTTCCACTGCGTCCAGCCTTCTTTTGAGTCCACCACCAGTGACCGGTCCCAGAATTCACCTCTAGAGGTTTTTCAGGTGACTCCGATGAATTTTTTAGGGACGGGCCAACGTCCCCTGTCCGCTAGCTGGATCGGAAGGGGAGTTCTCTGGGGCCCTGGGACTTCTCAGGGTGTGTACCCGAGAGACCCCTCAGTCTCCACAAAGGGTTCAGGGGAGGTTCAACCTCCCTTTGCATCCGAAAAAGCACCCCTAAGGGCCTGCATCTCGCTGGGGGGCCTCCAAATGTTGTAATGTGCCCCACGAATCACAGAAGGGCGCCTCAAGAAGTGGAATTAAAGAGTCACATTTATTGCAATCCGGGACTATGAGATGAGATGCCGAATCAAATCTCATAGTCCCGGATTGCAATAAATGTGACTCTTTAATTCCACTTCTTGAGGCGCCCTTCTGTGATTCGCGGGGCACATTATAACAAAATGATAAAAGAAATACAAGGAAAGCAGCAAGTCTATATTATATTAGACTTAAACAACACTGTCAATGAACATGACCTGACTGACATTTTATAAAAGACTCCACCCAGTATCAGCAAAGTACACATTCTCTTCAAGTGTACACACAGTACATATCAAGACAGACCAAATTCTGAGCCATAAAGCAAGTCTTAGTAAATTTAAAAGTATGTTCCCTGAGCACAAATTTAATTAGAAATTAATAACAGAAAGTTCTCTGAAAAAAAATCCCCAATATTTTAAATTTTAAAAATCCACTTGGGGCCCTAACTGGTTTGGCTCAGCGGATAGAGCGTCGGCCTGCGGACTCAAGGGTCCCAGGTTCGATTCCGGTCAAGGGCATGTACCTTGGTTGCGGGCACATCCCCAGTAGGGGGCGTGCAAGAGGCAGCTAATCGATGTTTCTCTCTCATCAATGTTTCTAACTCTCTACCCCTCTCCCCTCCTCTCTGTAAAAAATCAATAAAATATATTTTTAAAAAATCCACTTGGGGATCCAAGATAGCGACCGGCAAGAAAGAAGGGAGGAAGAGTGTGTGAGAGAGTGAGGGGGCAATAGAGGAGTGTGTGGACGTGTGTGGTGTGTGTGTGTATGAGCTAGGGACAATTTGATTCTGCAGGTCTTCCAAGGGGCTGCCAAACCAGGCAGTCTTAGATGGCGGAGCCCTGCCCCAGTGCGGACAAACCCTGCTGCCACCACAAACACTCCAGGGAGGACACCGCCGGCACAGAGACCACGCCATCTTGAAGAACAGAACTGCTTGAGACTAGGATCCTAGCCTTGCCACTACCCAATCTGGTCTCAGTCGCAAACCAGGACCCTATAGCCACTTGGGTAAAAGACCTGCGACCACAGCTACAGACCCATGGACACCAAGACCCCAGGCACCCGGCCACGATTTCTGTGAGTCACAGAGCTAATCCCCCTCCCCGCCCACCCCGTGGCAGTGGCATAAGAACAGCCAGACCCTCTCCGAAATAACAGGCCTCCTGTTCACACACAGCAGCGGTGGCTCTACCTGAATTTGAGCCTGGGTGTGTGGACACAGGAAGTTTGTTTCCCGCGACCAGACCCCGAGCCCACACAGGGAGGCTGCACAAATTTGAGCCTGGGTGTGCAAACTCAGGGAGCTTGTCTCCCGTGACCAGACACCATGGCCACGCAGGGAGGCTTTGCTGAATTTGAGCCTGGGTGTGCAAACTTGGGGAGCTGAATTTAAGCCTGGGTGTGCAAACTTGGGGAGCTGAATTTGAGCCTGAGCGTGCGAACTCAGGGAGTTTGTTTCCCATGACCAGATCCCGTGCCCACACTGGAAGGCTGCGCTGAATTTGAGCCTGGGTGCACAAACACAGGGAGTTTGTTTCCCACAGTGAACACCCGCGTGACGAGAACCCACGCCCACACAGGGTGGCAGTGCCACCTTTGATTCAGGGCAAGTGCACACAGAAGGCTGTGGACCTCCTGCCAACACAGTGCAACTGTGAAACCCGGCCCCCCCCAAGCAGACCGGGGACCCTGATTCTCCACGTGAGAGGCAGCACTGAGCATCAGTGACTTCAATCTGTTTCTCTTTGTGTGCACCTGGGATCTCTGATTCCTAGTGCATTCATACTAAGAGCAGTGACTCCAATTCTTGGTGCATGCACAAACAGGAACCCTGATTCTTGGCGCAAGGCTGCACCAAGCAACAGAGACTCTGAGACTCAAATCTCGACACGGACACAGGAGGTCTCTGACCCCTGACATACGCTAGGGGACTGTGATTTTTTGGCACACACCAGCGAGGTCTCTGTTTTAGCGCAGCTCAAGCAAAGTCCCTGATTCTAGATGCATACACGATGCCACACTAAGCGCATGTGACTCTGATCCTGGGTGAGCGTGGCTCCCACCAATCCACAGCAGCCATACGTTGTGGTGTTGGAGCTCCTCAGTGACACTGGGGGGTGCGAAGCTCCCAATGCACATGGCGCAGGCCCCTTCAACTTGACATTTGAAAATTCTGGTGATAGTAAGAATGGGGAGACAACAAAACAATCCCCAGAGGAAAGAAAATGAGAATTGACCAAGAAAGGAACTAAGTGAAAAGGAAGCATGCAAACAGAAAAAGAATTCAGAGTAATGGTCATACAATTCATACACCGGATGGATGAGAAAAATCAACAACCTATGCAAAAATCAGAAAGAAATGAAAAGTGATATGCTGTCTACAGGAGACCCACCTCAGAACAAAGTATTCACACAGACTTATGGCAAAGGAGTGGAAAAAGGTTTTTCAGGCAAATGGAAATGAAAAAAAAAAAAGCTGGGGTAGCAATACTTATATCTGACAAAATAGACCTCAAAGGGAAGACTATAACAAGAGACCAGCAAGGTCACTTCATAATTCTAAAGGGATCAATACAACAGGAGGATATAACTCTGCTAAACATTAATGTACCCAATGCAGGAGCACACAAATACATAAAAAAACTTCTGGAAGATATCAGGGGTTAGATTGACAGCAACACAGGCATAGTAGGCGACTTTAATACCCCATTAACATCACTGGATAAATCCTCTAAACAAAAAATTAGCAAAGAAACATCAATACCAAATGACTCACTAGATCAGATGGACTAAATCGGCATCTTTAGAACATTCCACCCCAAAATTACAGAAACAGTAGACTAGAAGAAAAAGAGGACCAAATTACTGAGTTAGAAGATAAGATAGAGAGACAAGCCCAATCTAAACACTAACTAGAGAAAAATATTAAAAGCAGGAGGAGAGCCTAAGGGAGCTTTGGGACAATGCAAAACGAAGTAATATATGTATAATAGGGCTGCCAGAAGGCCAAGAAGAGCAGCAAGGATTAGAAAATCTATTTGAAGAAATAATGACAGAAAACGTCCCTGATATGGGGATGAAAAAAGTTACACATGTAGAGAGTCCCAAGCAAGATGAATCTCAAAAGACCCACACCAAGACCATCATAATTACAATGGCAAATGTTAAAGACAAAGAGAGAATCTTAAAGGCTGAGAGAGAGATACCTACAAAGGATCCCCTCTCAGATTATCAAATGATTTCTCAAGAGAAACACATAAAGCTAGAAGGAAGTGGAAGGAGATATACAAAGTGATGCAAAGCAAAGGACTGAATCCAAGAATACTATATCCAGCAAGACTATCAATCAAAATTGATGGGGAAATCAGGAGCTTCGCAGAAAAAAAAAAGGCTAAGGGAGTTTATCACTACCAAGCCAGCAATG